GGTCCCGGAACGAAGCTTATTCGGGTTTGGAAAATGGATAAGCAAGATGCTTAGCTTTTGCTATCTCAGATTCCATTATACACGAAGAAAAAGTAAAAGGGGGAAAGGGGATTCATTCGACGGAGGTAAAGACGATCCAGAATCCAGAATTGAGTTATGGATCAGCTACAGAATGATTCTGCTTTTGTTCAATCAATGCAAGCTGCTCCAAATCCATCAATCATCGAGTTTCGTCAACCGCCTGCAGCTCCTCCGCCTATGCCTTGCAATCGTTCTCAAACCATATCCAGGTCCGTCATCTGGTCTCCCCTTGTTGTGTGTATGTCTCTCGGAATTAGAATCTATTTTTGTAGTTGTCGCGTCATGTGATGAATTCATGAAGAAATTGATTCTAGTAATTCTGGGAATTCAATTCCGTGTTTCCCCTTCAGTTTCATTAAATTGTCAGGATTTGAGTTTGCAATTACATTTTTGGTTTTGATTGAGTTCAGATGATAGTTTGAGGGGGAAAATATGAATTGATTTTGCTTGTGTGGTTTTAGTTATGCAAAATAGTTTGAGTGAAATTGGTTGTAGCCTTGTAGTAATTTGACTTAATTTGGGATCGTGATTGTGTTGTAAAAGTTAAATTTTTTTTTTTTTTGCGGGGCGATGGATTTGTAGGGGAGGTGGAAAATGCTTTAATATGAACAAGCTGAATGGTGTTTTTACAGGGCTGAAGGGGAAATCAAAGATTCTATTGCTTCAAGGAAACTTCAGAAAGCTGACCGTGAGAAATTAAGGAGGGACCGACTCAATGAACATTTTCAAGAGTTGGGAAATACGCTTGGTAAAGTATTAAACTAAGTCATGCGTTGGTTGGATTTTTCACAAATGATCATGTTTACTGCCTCTTTTTTTTGAAATATGAATGATCACTTCACTAAGCATAAGTGCGTAGCTACTTAGGTTTGCAAGCTTCTAAAATCCTCTACTGAGATTATGATTCTTATCATTTTCTGCATGGTCCTTGTGCGATGCAGACCCTGATAGGCCCAAAAATGACAAGGCAACAATTCTTTCTGATACAATTCAGTTGTTGAAGGATCTAACATCTCAAGTCAACAAACTTAAAGCTGAATATGCTACACTTACTGAAGAATCTCGTGAGGTGATCTTTTGAATTCATTACTTTTAATATCACTGGCAGATATGAAAAATTCAATAGTGAACTTAACCGATCATTTTGATTTTCTATGGAGACAGTTGACGCAGGAGAAAAATGATCTCAAAGAAGAGAAGGTGTCTCTTAAATCTGATATTGACAACCTTAATATTCAGTATCAACAGAGGCTTAGGGCTATGTTCCCATGGTCTGGTATGGATCACTCAGTTGTCATGGCACCACCTTCATATCCGTTTCCAGTACCTGTGGCAATGCCTCCTCCAGGGCCAATTGCCATGCATCCATCCATGCAACCATACTCTTTCTTTGGAAATCAAAATCCTGGGGTCATTCCTAACCCCTGTACTACTTTTGTTCCATTTATGACTCCTAATACCCTAGTTGAACAGCAGTCAGCACAACATGTCTCTCAACCTGCACAGCCTGGCAGTTGCTCTCACACTTCAAGCAAGCAAGATTCTAGAAACAAGTCATCTGGGGAGAGCAAGTTTGAAAAAAATGAGGAATCTAATGATGTCACTACTGACCTTGAGTTAAAGACTCCTGGATCTACACCAGAAAAGGTTTACACAGATTTTTAGATCACTTTGTAGAACAACCATCAAAGCAGGACATAATGACTTAATGATAACTGTTTTGCAGGATCCATCTTCAGGACAAAGAAAAACAAAGAAGTCATTACGGAAGGAACGTGGTTCAACAGAAGGAAGTTTTTCAAGTAGGTGTTCTTCATCACAGAGTGCACAGGATAGCTCATCTAATAGCATAGTAGGTGGCAAAAAGGCTGATGACTCGGAGGGGGCGAAAGACTGAGAAACCCAAGTGCCAGGTTGTGCTGAACTTGCTGTATCTATCACTTTTTTTCAGTTTAACTGATCACGTTTTATAATCTGTGACCTGCCACCTAATTGAATCACATTCAAATTTCAACATCATGAGGGTAAGTCCAAGGTTTGGATCTTTTCTCTAACATGGCAAGGATGGTGCCGTGAGATGATCTTCTATCCCCTCTTCTTCTGTTTGAACTACTTTGAAGCTGTACAAGTAAAAGGAATACCAAATTGTATTGGATAAAACCTCAATTTACTAGAGATCAGCTTAACGTTCTCCAATGTGTTAATCAGTTTCAAATAATAATTTTGTTTCCCCTGTTGCAAAGTTTCCAATATTCGCGTGCAGATGGGTTTGTGTGGGTACTAGGTATGATATGGATGGTTATTGGCAGCAGCAAAGGTTGAAATATGGTTACTGAAATCCTTGCACTGGAATAAACCCGAGTCCGTACCAAATTCTCTTCGGTATTGAGCACCTTCCAGGTTTCAATTTTGATGATGCACCAGACTGGAAATTGGATGAAGACATTTACAGAGATGTGGTGATGAGTTGAAACCTGAGAAGATGTGTCCTGCAATGAACTGTCAATTGTATGCACACGAAGATACTGTTGCCTTAAATTATTTCATGCCAAGACAGACAGCGGATGCTAGATTAGATGTGATCTCATTGTCTCACTGTGAAGATAGACTGTCGCGCATTTGAAGTTTAAGCAGGTTATTGATAAAGTTTAGTCAGGATTTGTGTTATATCTGGAAATATTGGTTATTTTGATCCATACGTTTTGGAACGAGACATTGTCCATCATGTTATAGAGATCATTGCATTTTGGCCAAAGATTTAGGGGTCAGATTGATCACCTAAAAATCAATTTATTATTATTATTATTATTTATATATCTTCTCTCACTTATCCTTAGTATATTTAATGATAGTTAGTGAGGTTTGTTCACCTAATGATCATATGATTAGTTGTTAACTAGTATTTAATTCTCTGGATAAATAAATAAGATTAGTTGTTGGTTAATATTTAATTCTTTAGATAAATAAATAAGATATAGTTTTTTATGAATTCTTTTGGATAGATAAATAAGATTAATTGTTGACTAATATTTAATTTTTTGGATAGATAAATAAAATAAATTTTTTAATGAATTATTCAATTCTAATCATATGATATATTTTTAATCAAATACAAGAGTAAATTTAATACAGTGTGTAACTTGGCTCGTATGATTATTGTTACAAATGAAATCGTTAAGGTCACTAAGAGTAAATCAAAAATATGGTGAACATACGACATTCACTTGATTTTACAACTTCACTTAATTTGTACCAAATCTCTCTCGCTTGCCTTATCAATTTCTTTGATAACCATTTCAGTATTAATGGTTGGTTATGATTTGTATTAATGCAATGATATGAATCTAATCTATGATTAATGGCACTTGCGGCACAAGCCATATTGGGGAAATGGATGCATGCCCTGGGATATGTGCAGGTTCAAGTTGTTGAAGTCTCATCCTTTCGCTTATTCCTCACTGTTCAAAAAGAAAAAAAAAATATTGAGTGATTGTTCATAAAAAAAAAAAAAAGTATATACAGTGATGGGTAATAGAAATCCACGTGTACCATTCACCATTGATTCCACGAAGAATCATTTCAACCCCATTTTATCTATAAACATATCGTTCCTTCTTCGCCATCTGTCAAGCCACGTGGCTGGAACTGGAATATAAAAGACCATCCATATTATCCGACCATAGAA